AATGGTGATGTCCTGCAATTGGTAGGCTAGTCTGATTGTTCATAATGGTGCTTTAAGTGCAGTATCCTGGATCTCTAATACAGAAATATGATCACAGAGGCTATTTCCTACTTTATGTCTTGTGATTCTTGTGGCCATGAAAACCACCAGCAGTATTGTTCAATAAGTTATTTCCTATGCTTGTATGTCCATCATATATTTCATTTCAAAATGTCTTATCATCCTTATCATTCTGCTACGAAGATTGCTAAATCTAAGACATTCAGTGAGCTTATAAAGATGACGATTTAATAGGTGAATGTTCTCAGGTAAAAAGGACCATGCAGGATACCAGATAGTCTCAGGTATAGAGATATTTGTCAATCAGTGCAAAATAGCTACCGTAATAGTAATGACTGTATACCAACTAATAATTGAATGCAATCCCCGAAATTCATTGTAATTTAGGAAATAGAGTGTTTCTTAAGTTTAACAGCTTTAGAAAAGCCAGAGAAACTTTTCTCCTAAATTCACTGAATTGTGTACTACAGTTACTGTTACTTATTGGAAGATACCATTAATTAGTTGAGTTGGATTGGATTGGATTACCTGGTTTGCTGCGAAAGACAGGCTTATTAGAAAGGTCAGTAATTTATACTACTACAAAAATTCTTTTGTTCAGCCCAGGAATGACCTAGTTTTGCCTTTTATATCTCTATGAAACTCAGAGATGCAGAAAGTAGGGCAGAAGATATTGGTGAGACATTTGCCCAAATAATGTGGCCAGTTGCTATTAGGGTGTTAACTAAGTTCTTATTCAAGGAACCAGTTATGAAGTTGAAGTACTGTGGAGTGAAAGAGCACATGCACAAGTGCAATAAAGAAAGTTAAGAATAGATATTCATATAAAAGGATTGACTTACGGTTTGGCTTACTTTTCATCTGATATTATTATTGGTGTGCACATACCTTAAATTGATTGCGTTATGATGTTGAATGAACTTGTAGTCTGGTATTGAGATTGGTTGTAGGCTGTGGAAGCGATAGCAAAGGATAAATAAAATATTTTTTGTAATTATAGAAAATCAAACCATTTAATGTTCTTCCACTGCATATTTTGAAGTGAAAACGTCTGTGTTTTCCATGTCTCGTCAAAAATACGAAGCTTTAATATGTCAGTGCCATCTATTCAAATGGAAAGAACCATTTAGATTTTTTTTTTCCTTTAGAGCCTCATCTTTTTCCAGTGCTGTGGCTGTTCCCCCTGGCAAGTTCTGGCTACATTCAAAATATTCAAATAAGATCATCTTATAAGGTTGCCTGGTCTCTTAGTCACTTTTTACTTACTTATAGGAAGAGATGTTTAAATGGTATTTAGAAGAAATAGTTATACAGGGAGTACAAAATATATTTCTTACCAGTATTTCCTCCCTCCCTCCAACCTGTTTTCACACTATGGGTCAGGACTTAACAGCTCTCAAGAGTGTCTGGCTGAATAACAGCGGGCTTCTAAATCTCAAATCAAGTGCTCTTCAAAGCACCTTACTTCTCTTGAGATAAAAACTTGAGGCAGGTTTTTCCATCTGGCCTATTCATCAAGTATAGTCTACTGAATTGTTGACATTTCTAAACACTAAAGGGATTTTAAAGATCTTATTGCTCTAAAGAGACTTACTTGTAGTAGGGAATAAAGAAGTGAAATAAAAAAAATACTGACACATGAAAAGTACAAAACTAAATAACTGCTAGAAACAGCTGAAAGCAAATAACTATAATTTGACATACAGTTTCTGTACAAAACACATTTTTGATGTAGGAATCTGCTCAAATGTTCAGCCCTCCCCCCCAACTTCCAGATAAATAGTAATGTTTATTTTAATCTCAATTACTCACAAAAGTCTTGCATTTAATGTGATAACAGTTTCTGTCATTCATATTTAATATATTTGTTTCAGTTTACACTGAGTCCTACTATCTTAGATAGAGTCATTTAAAAAGGAATTAGCGTAACCTGTCTTTTAACCTTTCCCCAGCAACTTCTTACTCTGTGCTTAAACTTCCTTTAAAGCATTGGTTTGCCAAAGGGTAGTCAACCAATGCAATTTTTGTATTTTTTTGTATAAGCAATATCAATCACTGAGTAAAAATATGCCACAGTATGTTTTCATATCAAAACAGGGTAATCCAACATCATGATATTAAATTACACTTCAGTGATTTCTGAAGTCTAAGATTATTTGGTAGTAATACTACAAAAGGTTTGTTAACTGGAATTTTAAACTGTAGCCCTCGTGAGTCATGGGGGATTAGTACTGAAAATAAGGGATATTAAAATATGAATTATATAATTTCTACATCCCCACCTGGGAGTTACAGGAACTGAACATACTTCCTATATCACTGCCAGTTTTTAGGGTGAGAAGACAATGATAGCAGAATATCTCTTCTGGCCTGGTTTTTGCCTTACCGTGGAGCATCTGACAGTGGCATTTACCATTGCAGAGCTGAAGTTTCTAGCTTG